GAGTCACTCGACGATCGGCACGGCAGGTGATGCAGGTGTCGAAGTAAACTAGAGACAACATCCAAAGAACTTGATGACTACAGGCAGCGAGCTCGGGTATGTAAAATAGATCAGTTGGAAAACGTGTTAAGACATATGGATCACACGTAGCAGCTCTTCCGTGTGCTTGAAGCATCTATTAGGTCCACTCATAAGTTCTGTCACTAGATTAATATACCCCAAATTTATTAACCAGAAGTATTCAAAATTGCTTAACAACACTCCAAAGTAGGGGCTATCACACTGAGCATATTTTTGTCATCTCTCAAAATACAAATTAATGCCGCTTTGTGAAGAATTTTCTGAGGTTTCTTTTGGTACCAAACCTATCCGTGCTTGGGGCATCGTGGCCGCTCAACGAAGCCTCTTTTGCAATTTGCTACCTTACGAGTACGATTTGGGACGCGATGCACAGATCGCCTTCGAGAACATTAACCGTGCAAAGGCTCGAGGAATTGTGTCCAGACTAGCGTTTCGGTTCTTTGCTATGTTTCACGTCAGCAACATCAATATGGAGGACCAGCTGAACTTTGAACGTCCAGGCGAAGTTAAACGAGAGGTCGCCATTGAAGTGATCGAAGAGGATCCGACTTTGACTATCGAGGAATTGACCGACAATTTTGTCTGCGCTCATGCGACAGTCAGCGGAAAATTGAAGGCAGCAGGCAAGATGTAGAAAGGGTCGACAGATTCCACTCAAGCTCACTCAAGCACGAATGCGCAAACGCAACAATATTTGATACGGTTTGTTGCCTGAGGATAGCAGAACTGTGTTCAGGCTGATGGTGTTTACTTTATGTGGTGTTGTTAAGCACTTCAAATTACTTCTGGTTAATGAATTTGGTGCACTGCTCTAGTGTCAAAGCTTATGAGAAGACCTAATAACACGCATAATGAGAGATTTGAAGGAGTTGGAGAAATTCAAAACAGAGGCACAAAACAGCTTAGAGTCTTCTAAGGTCCTCAGGTATGCCACTGCGAGCAATAAAACGTTGCCTTTGTCGTTATCATATAGAAGAAAAATCTATTAACGGTGATTTTTTAGAAAGAAATGAGTGGAATCTGTGTTGTCGACCACACTATCTGTGCGAACATAGCAAGCAATTAGATAAATGGAATTAATCGTAATGAAAGTTCTCTTTACCTCCATGTCCTCGTCGAGACAAACAATAGCTGCGGCATTCGTGAACTGACCACAATAATTCGGAGCCGAAAATACGGTTATAAGTCGACGTCCTGCCATCATCTCATAGCCGTCTTGAACTACCTTAACTCATTTCGATAGTGACCGGGTACTTTTCCATTTGGTAGCTCAGGTTTGTAAGCCTATTCCTTTCGCTGGACAAGAAGTCTTCATAAAGAGTGTTAGTAATTGTTCGAAAGCACAACTCTCTGGCTAGCGCGGCAAGTGCTGATTTTTCAAAAAAGATCTGTTCATATTACTTCAGCAAAAGGAAAACTTTTGTGTTCCACACTAGCATATTTTTGGCATTACAGAGCTCTTTCTTCAGACTGTTAGTAATCATTCTGATAGCATACGATTGAATTATTTCACGACCATGTTTATTTTCTGGAAAGACAGTCTTCTGCAGTGTAGCAAGGGAAATAATATTGATTAACATATCCTAGTATGTGTTTTTTTTGACCAATTCCCGAGCTGCGAGGTGGGGAAACGAGGGCACGGGTTCGCCGCGATTATTGCATGGTGCCTATGTGACGTGTGATTTCTGTTGTTTAATTAGTAATTATTCTCCGCTTTAGAATAAACTTTAGATTGAACGTCTGATCCTGATACTAAGAAATTTTTCATACAAGTTCATGTTATTTTCGTGCTTCTAACGAAGTAACAGTAAAATTGTGCAGCTGATGTGAAACATATTTTTTTTGGATTTTACAGCGTTATAAGAGCGTTTTTTTTTCATAAAACGGCTACGTATGGCGTTAGCCAAATACTCAGGTTTCGAGTGAGTACTAGCGCTCTTTATGAAAAGTTCTTGCTAGCGAAACGGATAGGCTTAAGAATCTGTGCCATCAAACAGAAATGAACCGAAAAATGATACACTAAGCAGAGGAAAAAGTTCCTTACCACCAGCGAAAAAATTTGAATTTTATCTTTGTTTTGCACAGTATCGGTTAATGTAAGTTCATGGAAATATCTCAGGATTATTTTCACAAGAATTTTCCATGGCAACGCCACTTATTAAGCACCCCACAGTGGTTCGTCGTAAACGCGCGCTGTTTCAACAAAGCTATGCCAAACCTAACACCCCAAAAAGACTAAATAAATGATTGATGAACTGGAGGGAATCGTGTTCTTGCCGCACCCAACCTAGAAAAAAGATGCTACGCAGTCTTATCATGATTTCTTTCCTCACTGGAGTATTTTCTGCGTGGAAGCTGTTTAGGGATATTTCATCAAGTTGAAGAGCTTTATCAGGAGTTTCCTGATCTAAAGCCAAGGAAAGGGGATTTCGAGCACATCCGAAGTTTAGCAGATCTATCGCAGAAGATCGCGGTTAACGATGGTCTTTACTCTAAAGAACACTGAGAGAATCTAGTGATGAGCAAAATTTCGACCTCAAACGGGAGTTGTACTCGCGTTTTGCCCATACCGGGGGCGGAGCGCGTGCTACCACTACACCACCGAGGCCACCGCACATGAGGAATCTTGGCTCTATGTATGTACAGTGGCTGTCAGCTTAACTAGGTTTAGAAAGCGATATGTGCTCACCCGACCACACGTGTCAGTGGTTGGTGGCTGATACCTACGACAGTGAGGTAGTGAAGAAGGAGTAAGTGGTGGTCTCGGTGGTGTAGTGGTAGCACGCGCTTCCAGTATGTGTAAAACGCGGGTTCAACACCCGCCTGAGATTGGATAATGGCCCTCCGCTTAATTCTCTTAGGCTTGTTTGACACATCGTAACACTGCGAAAAAAGCATTTAAAACATAAGGAATTTTGAAGAGTAATTATTGTTGACATGATTGCAATGGGAAGATGTGATTTTACCTTTATCCTTTCTGGAATCATCTTTCTTACCTGATGTGCACGAATAATCAATCTATACCCAGCATGTGACAAGCTTGTTGAACGACACCTTTTCCGAACATGTAGCTTATTCCTAAGATACACAGCAATGAGCGTGTTGAGACGCTTTGAGAAGTGCACTACAACATAAGAACGCTAATACTAGATGAATTTTGTCGCTAATGCTAGTCAACTCGCTGCTTTAGCTTAGTCAACAATCCATTACTGATCAACTGCGGATGTTGAACTGACTTTTGCTACGGACTAATAGGTTTTGAAGTGGTGATGTGATCAGATATAAATATAAATAGTGATTAAGCCATAGAATACTTTTACCTCTGATGGAATGAAACCATCCATCTCCTTTATTAGTTGGATCTGACCATGTAAGATCGATGAGCAATCCACGATCGAGTGGTTCGCATGGGCGGGGTATGTTACGAATTACATCTAGATGGTTCAATTCTGGTGATAGCCCTCCGTGCATACATAAAACCTGAAAACTCCTAGCACTTGATTCATATCACAGTTCCAGTTTTTCGTTTTTCTGAGATTTGTGGCACGTGTAGAAACATTTCTGAGATTTGTAGCACGAAGTTGACACTACAGACAAGAATCGAAAAGATTTATCTGAAATCTCTGAAATAACAGATAGAGTACCGGATTTCTGTAAGCTATGTTGTTTAGGTTACGGAAAGCGGTAATTTTTCCCTATTCGCACACAACTTCAGCCCTCAAGCGAAACACTTTATTTGTTTCTTCCTAAAAAGCTCTGATGGTTATTCAACAGCTCAAATCTTTACAAATTCAATCAATTTTAAAATGGCCTGCCCGCTAAGCTGCAACCTTAAAAATTAAGAAATGCTTCACACTCAAGCATTTTTTGCTGAGCAAAGCTTTTTCCTCAAACTTTCAGTAATCATTAGATATATTAGATCTCAACAGTTCGAATGATGGACTTAGTGTTCCAAAAAGATTTTTTGTCGCCCTGTAACATTGAGAATAAAATGCATTTCACATGCACGCGCATTCTTTGCTTCGATATGTGGACGGAATTTCGCAACATCGACATCAAGCCATCGCTCTTCGGAACATTGCACAAGCCCTAGCCGATATGATATGTGCGCCAAGTGCAAAACCTAATCCTCCTTAGGCTGCAGCAACGGGCTAAAAAGTCTTTTTTGAGAACCAAGGACAGCATTGAAATAGTGAAGATTTGTATTGTTGAATTATTATCTATCTATGATGTATAGACATCATAGATCTACAAAAGCAGCTGTGTCCAGCGAAAACAGCCTGAATGTGAGGAATAATTTAATTTTTACAACTAGATCGCAGAAAAAAATATGCTCAAGAACAGCTACACCGTTAGATTCTCAAGATTTGAGCTATCCAATGACTGCTAGTACTCTAAAAAAAAGCAACAACGCGTCTTTAGCAAGGAGCTGAACATCGATGCGTTTAGGGAAAAGGTGCTCAAAGCGCTTAGAGAAATAAAGTTTCACATTCCATATTTTCACACACTGCAACATTAATCAACAATTTATATACCTACGAGGAAAATGCTTAACCCTTTGGGGATCCACCGTTGATAGACAGGCAGCGTTGTACCGTCGCTTGCGCAGGCAGTCGCAAGCAGGCAGCATCTGCATGCTTGTGTACGTATGTTTGGTTGTCTGCCGACCTTCCCGCCAAACGCGGCGCCGCCATTACAGTAGCCGAGTAAGAGTTGACGTAGCGCGGCTTGGTACGAAATTACCTACGTCCTTGAAGGGTTGAAGTAGTTCACTGCATATTTTAGTCACGATACTCTGATAAAAAACTATTATACGTCCAGGTATGAGTGCAGTGCAATAACTAGAAGTGCTCTGCAACGCACTCGTGGCAAATGGCTCACTCTCGCGCCCAAAGCTCACCAAGCTTTGAATCCCTCCAGGGTCCACATATTCATACCAGATTTGCCTGAGGAACTAGCAGACCGCTGAACATTGATAGGCCACTGTAATTAACTTTAGAGGGCCAGATATGTAGTCACCCGACTCTGACGATGCTCAACCCCTTAGGCGCGACAGACCATGGCGGTGGCCCTGCTTTGCCGCCCTCGACGAGCACTATGTAGTGCTGACGCGTTTAGTAATGCTGGCCATCGGGAAGAAGGTTGCTAGTTCGATTCGCAGCAGTTTTTCAACGGCTAGCTTTTCGTGTCAAATAGTAATAATTTTTCCTCTCCAACGTAATTATTATAGCATGAAAGCGCACACTTCTCAAACATTTCAGTACTTTTTCATACGAAACGTATATCCATGAAGTAACAATGCATATACGACCTTTTTTCTCATTTCTTTCGACACTGCCGTAAAAGTCAAATTCGAAAACATATTTGGCACAGTGTGCGACTTTTTAAAAAAAACTTATATGGAAATGGATAGACTTAGTTTTGCGAAACCTGTGCGCTCGCTTCGTTATTACTGCACAGATCTATGTGTCGTACCAAAAAGTATCGATTTGTGAGACAACTAGGCGCTTCTTTGCTAAAATTGCGTCTATAGAACTCTCAATACTAATCGACACTGAAAAATCACACCAAAATAACCAGAGTGAAGAGTCGTTCAAAGAAGGGGTTGGAGGGGGGCGAATCGAACCAGCAATCTTATTCCGGACGGCTGCTATCATTGACCAATCCGCATTACAAACCTCTCGACCAAGCACGCGAGGCGGTGCAAACGCATTGGGCCTGTCTGCCCAAAAGGTCAAGGAAATCTATAGCATGACCAATTTTTAGAGATCGTGTCGAGAGTTTTATCTTCTGATATCTATAAGCGTTGATATGCTTGACATCTCTTAAAGTTAGCGAAATGGACGAGTTGAAATTTCGACTTAACGTACCTTTTTGGATATGAGTCCAGAAAGCGGTATTCGATTAAAGCACCATTGAAAGTCCCACCACAATCCAGCACCATACTTCATCACACATTCATTGTAGAAACCGTAGATTTTGTTTACTGCCGGAGTCTCATGATTTCCACGAAGCAGATAAATGCGATCGCGATAACGAAGTTTAAGAGCAAATAGGAGAATAATGACCTGAAATGATGCAATGGCATGGTTGCCATTTTTCGAAAATGTCAGTAAAGTACTTTGAATGCGGATATGATAATTAGTCCCACAATCAGTGAAAATAAACTTCACCAAAACGCATAAATTCACTAACAGGTGCGAGTAATTACAAACTTTGTGTCTTCATAATTTTTCACTAGTGCTCAGATTATCAGCATTTCGACCGTATCATCAACACGTGATGCTCCAGATACATAATAAGCAATGTACATGGAGAGAAAATATTGGTCAACTTTAATATAGAATCAAAATTGATTAAAGGAAAATCTATTAGAATCTGAAAGTCTTCGTGTACGGAATGCAAAATCTGTTTTCTACCGAGGCGAAGTAATATTACCAAATTTGAGGACACTGAATTATACATGAATCTCAAACGGGATTTGAACCCGCGTCCCACCCGTATCAGGTGTGCGTGACATTGCTACAACCAGTGTTTAAAAAAAGATAAGTGGCGCAGAGGGTGGGCATGGTGGTGTAGTAGCATGCGCCTTCCATTTAGGTGAGACACGGGTTCAACTCCAGGCTAAGATTCTGAGCTTTAGATAACACTCAATATCCTTGGATATGTAGTTATAACATTGAAATAAGGCCATATTCTTGAAATCTGCGGAATATTTAGTGGTACCTAGCTACTCTATTTATATCATACGAGAATAGTGATTCAAATGCCCATTTTTAGCATTATATGACAGGCTTTTGTTTTATACAACTCGCAGATCTTAGTGAAATTTTTTTCTTGAACGTCAATATTACCTCAACACCTTGCGGTCCTCGGTCAACGTAATCTCCAAGGAAAAGGAGCCTCTCCTGAGGTGCTCGGCCGACAAGGTCAAACATGCGGTTCATGTCCTTCAAGAAACCATCTCAATTTTGATTCATCATTATCTGTCGTTAAATCAGTTTTCGACAGAATTTTGCATAAATTGTGTGAGTCATGTGCATACTATGTCTTGAAAATGAAAGTTGTAAAATTCTCAATATACCTGAAACTGAGCATGAATATCACCAATAACTTTTATCGGGACTTCACATTCGCACAAATTGTTCTCCTCCATGAACACTAGTGCGGCCTGTGATAGTATCACATTATTTCGTGGTAAAAGTTGTTTTTATGACTTATTTGTAGCTCTGAGACCAAGTTAGAGGTTTATTGACTTGATTTTATGTTCGATTCTGTAAACATTTCGCTTATAAACTACTAGATTTCCACGTTTTTATGTGATCTAGCGCCCCAAAACTCATATAGTGTTAACTTGAACCAATGCGCATCTGGGCAGTACAGGTCCGATCCGTTGTCTTGTATAGGTTTCGCAAATGTCAAAGCGTTTCTATTACAAATGTCGTTGTTGTGCTCAGAACATTTTCCCTTACGCTTGATAAATTTGGGAAACCTTTATTGACCTTTATTTATTTGATGAGCCCTTACCAGACCACATGACAAGTTGGCTCAAATAATAATAAAAGGATATATTGAAATTTGAGCGTGGTCTAAACAAAGCACTTTATC